CTTACTTCTAAACTCTGAAAAAGATGGTGGTTAACATTTCTTCTGTGTCAACATTTGGGAAATATAGAAGGATATTACTGAAAAAAGGTAAGGATGAAAACTCAATTCAGCTGCAAAGTATTTAATATACACAAAAGATTGCACAAATTATGGCCAGAGAAATTTTCACAGCAAGAGTCAAAGAAAGGGAACATTGAAGTATCTCCAGACAAAGCTCCCCTCATGCCCTCCCATGGGGAATGGGGAATAAGGTCTGTGAAAGTCTTGGCAATTCTGTCCCATAACTGTGAAGATTTGGCACCTGCTAGATTCATACAGTTGACTCTACAATTCAGCACTTGTCACTAGCCAGTTGTTGATCTCTAAAATGTCACCTTACTATCTTGTTCTAGGGCAAGAAAAAAACAACTATCTCCTCAAGACCAGCAATGTGACCACCAGAAAATACCAGCTTTAAATTTCATGACAGCCTTTTACTGTTTCCACCCAGGATCTGCTATTTGGCTTATAAGCTTGTTCCTAATCTTCAGTTTTGGGAAAGATAAGAAACAAAAGGTTGGATTCTGCTTGGTCTTAATGTCATACATTTGTGCAAGAGAAAAAGAAAATAATTGCAAAAGTACTTTCTTAAAACCTGATCACACCATGCTGAATCAACAGGCAGTTGGTATTATGAGATAAAAGGATGCTGTTCAGTCTGATTAATCAAACCTGCTTATGCTTGCCAAAGCCTAATTATTCTTTGATCTACATTAATGACTTCAGAAAGTATAGTACACCTGGTGGGAGTACTCAATGGGGAGCATTTTAGACTAAAAGGAAAACTCCTCCCTGTGTCACAAAAACCTAATTTGCTTATATCAGTAGAATCAATTGTTTTCTGCAGAACTGTGGTCTCCCACAGGTATTGCTGGCTGTATGGAAAGATAATTCATGCAGTTTTTACCAGTATCAAAAAGCTATCATTTGACAAACAGCAAACTCAGTCTCAGGGTGACTTTAAAAAACACATCACTATTGCTGTGGGTAGCTTTTTATTGAACAGCCTGGCTGTAACTCACATGAGCACCGACACACGTACCCCAGTTCTCTGCATTCTGAGTGAGATGAATAAGCTGCTCATATCCCAATTTAAAATTCATCAGGAGCTTAATTTACAATCCAGATCCACATTCGCATGGATAAGAATGACATGGCATTACAAAAGAAAGTCTATGAATAAAGCAATCCATCCGGGCTTTACTTGACTGAAAAATGCTATCATAAAAATACAGTAAACCACTGAAAGCATAAGGTCCCTGCTTGTGTGACGGGAACTCATATCAGGATTTTACTACATCAGGTGGTACTTTATGGTCATCAAATGGTGGAGACATCCAGGGCCAACTGACATGCAGAGAAATATGATAGAATTATTTCCAGAAAATCTTCCTGGGACTGCAGCAATTTATCACATAAATTTTAAGATTTCCATGAGGAACATACGAATGCAGATGTATGTGTGAGCACCAGACAAAACAGTAGAACAAAGATTTAAGGAACGTCCTGCATTTATAACAAGATCAAGCTACAGTAAACTAGGAAGTCTCACAGCAGTCTTTTTTTGGTCTTCATGCTGTTGGGAATAATTTGGTGAAGATGGTACCCTTTGCTTTACATGGAATATTTGCTCAAATCCCTAAGCCAGATATGCAACTTCCCATGCATTCATAGACGAAGCCACATCGACAACCCTTTAAATTTTGAGGAACTGATACAATTTACTCAAGAATCTCTGCATACAGCACTGAGCAATGTGCAAAGTGCTAAACTGTGGGAGTGTGTAGGTGCGGTCATGAGAAGCAATAGCAAAAGACTTTGCAGAATGCAACTGGAGAGAGCCTCCTGCTATCGACTACTTCAAGAATTCAGCTCATCAACCAACGCAAGAGAGGACAAGTCTTAAATAAAGCACGTGAGAAATGATTTAAGAATTTGATGGCAAGATCAGTGATGACAACACTTTGCTTCTTTTTTAATGTTTTATGAGTACATAGTATTTTCTCTTGCAGCAGAATTAGTTTGAGGTGAAATGCTGTGGGAGGGGAAAGCAATCATGAATTTATAAGAAATATGTTTGTCTCAGATGGTACTGCCCAGACTTTTTTTTTTTTTCTTTCTTCTTCTTCTTATTTTTATTATTTTCCCCATTTGAATACAGATTTCTGCCTACATTTCATTCTTATTCCCTGAGTAGACTTTTCTTTAGGCCTTTTGAATTTTAATACCTTGGGCATAACTTGTTTAATATATTGATGGGTCAAACACCATGGCTGTGCTAGAATATGTTGCCATGAGACAGCACAGCATCTGGAAGAAAGGTGCAATCCTGCTTACGGAGAGACAATGAGGATTGTGTTGAGCACACCATCAGGCACTGCCAGTGCACAGGACGCATTTCATTTGGCACTATTTCAGGACAAACACACGGGGTGTCCAGAAACTTTAGTTGATATCAATCTATCAATGGGACTTCACTCATTTATAGCAGCAGACATTCTTGCTCTGCTTTGTTTGCTTTGCACCATCATTTCCTTCTCATCAAGAAACAAACTCAATTATACTTTTTGCTGCTCCAGGCATAACTAACCAGCGGGCAACTCCCTCAGAAAGCCCAGCCATTTCAAATACCTCCTCTCACCGGCAGATACCTCCAAAAAGAAGTGTTACTTCTATACCCCTCAAGGGGTGCACACACCATCATTAATCTTTCTTTCATCTCACAGAATGCTAATAAAACAATCACCTCCCTATCCCCGAATTGGGTAGGTCCTAATTAACATGCTAATTGGGCAGATCTTCCCTAATGACTCCCAAACCTCAGCAGTAATATGTTATTTAGATAGAAAAGAGTTATCTAAAAGATAGGCAGAATTAAAAAACTGGCAAGCCATAGCACAGTTTGGATAGGCAAAATGTTGAAACATCCCTTTCTACTGCAAGAATTAAAATTCTCCACCAGCCTGTGCTACAGATCATATGTTTACAGATCCATCACCTTGCAAGCTTCAGAGCAAAAGGCATTTTGAAGGTAATATACAACTGTAATAAAGAATAGCATTCAAGCAGAGAGAAACAACATATGAGTAACAATGAAGTTTTAAAATATATTATTAAATCTGTTTATTTTAATGTGTCTCCAAACAAAGCTGCTTTTTATTATCTGACACAAAAACGTACAAGTTGTTTTGCAAACTCAGTAATGCCAGCAGCTCTGGCAGTTTGCATTCATGAGCAACTTCAGGATGGATAGTTCAGGTGTTAATGGAATTAGTCCATTGGGGCTAGTATTGTGTTTATGCAGTTAGAGATTCAGTATAATCAAATTCCTGTGCACTTGCTCTCTTTAGAAAATAGGATACAATAATAATTTAAATCCTCCATTAAGCTAAAATGAAAATATTGGCACATGCCATAAAAGTCATCGCTCTGAAATTTTCTTTCATGCACACCTCACAGATAAAAGCAGAGTATTTTTACTAAGAAATTTGAATCTTATACAGCAAACTGTTTAATGTGTCTCTCTTGAAACTTCTACTGCGGAAGTCCCTGCAAGCATGGCCTTATCCCACTACAGTTGATGAGCACACTGGAGTGCATTGCCTTGAAATCACCATTTCTGTAAAAAACATGCATGCAGCCAGTCAGCACTGCCTCAAACCTCACAGTCATATTACGGAGGATGAAGTCAGTGCCAGGACTACATCGCAGCAGCTAACCCTGGACCAGGCAACCAAGTCAAACCTAAGGCACTGCTTTGGTCCCAAGCTGGAAAACTGCAGAGGAAAGCCAAATGATTCTTCTGCTTTGTTTTTGGAGCACAGCAGAAAGAGAAATACTAGCATGGGGATGCTACAGTATTTTGTGCAATTTTTTGGACTCCATTTAACTCTATTAAAAGAGCCACAAGGAGAAGTCAAAACATTTCACTGTAATATTTTGTTTTCTGTGGCAGAATGATTTTTCATTAAAAGTTTTTTTTTTTTCTTAACAAGATGCCAAAAGCAAAAATAAAATGTTTTTGTCTCAATTTCTGCTATTCTTTCCAGTTTTAGTTTCTATGACCCTTGTTCCTAAAACCATTCTTTCTTCTCCCTCCCCCTCATTTTGCAATGCCTGAAAATAATAATAAAAAAAAACTTTCCACCTATTCATATGTTTTTCCTTGCATACGAAGGATGTAGAAACAACAAAACAATCATTACTTATGGCTGTGACAGACCAAGAAAAAATGAGTACAGCTCAGCTTCGGACAGTCTGGACCCTTGCTTTTCATCATTGCACATACCCATGCAAACCTCCCCTTACTTCTGAAGGCATACTTGATAAACAATCTGCTGGCTTTGTTTGCTGGTAACTACAATACAAACACTGGCTTTAGATGCACCATCAGAAGTCGTGTTAGGGATCACATCTTACTTCAGCTAAGTCAGTGAGGCATTGATTTAGCAAAGCCCTTTAGCTCTTTCAGTACCATGCTAATACTCGTGCCTACATATGAGGAACAGTTTATAACATACGCCTACTTAAATCTACAATACAACAGACATCAGTCTGTTCAGACAATAAAATAATATAAAATATAGTTTAAACAAACAAAAGTGAGCTGTCCTTTTTATAGGTATTTGATACTAAAGTGCAAGGAATCACAGAGATATGTCCCCTCCCCACTTTCCATATGCTTAGTTTTGAACAGCATAATTTATTTGTACAAGTTGTTGATAGAAAATTAAATTACAATGAAAATACTGTAGCACACATTAGGCTGGCCTGTGTTTCTTGTTGGTATTCTGTTCTACAGTAGAAGAGGGCTAAAAAGCCCTTGGATCGAAACTGCTGCATTACAGACAGAACATTTATTTTATAGCAGGTTCTTATGGAGCAACCTCTGCTCATCCCTGCCTGGCAAACGGGCAGTTGCCCTTGAGCACGCAGAACTTTATAACGCTGTTAAAAAGTACCTGTTTATGGTGGCTTCATGCACCAAAGGATGAAGGGTCTGCCAACAGGGGGAAGCCTGGCTAGGTAAGGCTAACCCATGTTCCACCCACACATCGGACGTGGCAAGTTCTGGCTTCTGCAGAATAACTGCAAGATAACAGCACATGGCAGGGCTTTACCTTGCCCTGGAGACACAGCTGAAAAGCATTTCTGAAGCCCACAGCAGAGATGCAGCTTCTGGTCCAGCATCCATGTTGTTACCCCCTACTTGAGGTGGATCAAGCCCTTGCACCATTCTGGTGGTTCAAGGATGGTTTTGTGTGTGAGGATCCGCACGGAAGAAACTCTGCTATCCCAGATGCCTAATGGGGCCTCCCGGGATCTGCAGCTCTCCCAAACAGTGTCAGGAAATTTGATTTCTGCCCTGTGATCCTCTGGCTAGAAACCAATTGCTCACTTGCTCTTATCTGCCGGTCCCTGTCTCTCAACCTGTGCTTCGTTAGCAGAGTTACCCTGGTGTGCTGTGCTTAGCGAGAGGGCAGGATGCCACTCTGACAGATGGAGCCAGAGCTAGGCCTGCCAAAGAGCCAGCATGTGGATCACATTAAAGACCGAGGGGAGCCAGTTCCCATCCAGAGCCATCACCACGGCTGCCTGGAGAGGGCCTGGGAGGCCTCACTTTGATTTGGAAGCTGCAAAGGAGCTAATGGCCTTGTCTAATTGCTAACCACTTGATCTGAGCTCTTCGTTACCTCGTGTGCAGGCCTCTCTCCCCTCCCGCAGGGCTTTTAAAGGCCTTTAAAAATGATGACTTGCAGAGTCCTCACCAAAAACAGTCTATTCCTACATTAAAGCTTGGAAACCTCTGAAACTGATTCTGAGCTGGTGATATTTTATACCTTTTGCTTTTGGTACCTTCCTTGAGCTCTGTATCAGGAGGAAGTGGCATCAGTTTACCAGTATTTACCGAGGAGCTTTGGTTGCCTTAGGATGCTGGTAACCTGGGGCTCCCATTTGCCCATTGACTTGGCAAATACGATTTCATCATGAAGAATGGTTTTAGAATTAAATTTTGCCAGTAAAATTGGATTTGAAATGGAAGTCAGATCACACGTTATCATTTCTGTGAAGGAGCCAACTCTAGTTAATGTGTAAGGCCAGAAGCCAAGTTGCCTGTAAATGCTAAAGAAAACAAATAACCTTGCAATTTCTTTCCTTCCTCCAGTCTCCAGAGAACTTCAAGTAGAAAAGCACTTATCTGAACACAAATGAACAGTACGTGAAGCCCTCGTTTCTGAGGGCCCTATCTCTGTCATGGAGCTATGGAAAACCCACAATTACCTCCTTCTTCCATACATTGCTTGTATGGGAGTAAGGAGGAGCATTGATCAGCAATTCGAAGCAGCCAGCTTGAGACAAAACCTCTTTAAAACATTGGAAAGAGAGAAAAGGATAAGCCTTTCTAAGGCCCAGGTTGATATTTTGGCACCTGTTTGCCTTTGATAAGAGTTAGTGCCTAAAGAGGAACTGAAAGAACCTCAGAGTAGTCATCTGCAAGAATGCAGGCAGTTCTGCCTGTGGTGCCTTGCAGCAGGGAGCAGCACCCCAGGAGAGGGCAGCACCCCCCAAATCCACAACACAACACCTTCCTGTACTCCAGCTAGTTCAATATCCCTGTGACAAACAGGCTTTATGCAGGCAAATTACTCAGCTACTTTCCTCCTGGTAGCACCTCTAGGGTGCCGCAGTGTGTGCGTGCTGAGACAGGGTGAGAAGATTTTTTCCAGCGCAGCTGCACTCCTCAGCTTGTTCTTGTATCTGCAAGAGACAGCAACCGTTAGGGGAAGTGGGGAAGAAAAAAACTTGTCTCCTTGGAAGGACAGCCAGGATAATGCAACAGCTAGATGCTGTGGACACAAAGGGGGCTCTTGGGAAAGAAACCACCAGAGCTCTGTGTATCTCCACTAATACAATATTTGTTTTTGTGATGTAACTCTCCTTATAGAAAGCACTGACGTTTCTGTGTACAACGGCATGGCGATGTGCTGTGGAAGCCGAGCTCAAAGTAAGGGCAGTCATGGAACAAAGCTCTCAGACAGGCTGAGAAGCAACACAGCCTGAGACAAACAGCGTCAGGGTGAGGTATCTGAAGGGGCGTGTTTTCCTGACAGAAATACAGCTCCGGGAGCTGTATTTACATCTTCTGCACACTTGCATCATGGCTCAGTGATAACAATAAATCCAGCTTAGATCAAAACTACTGCAACTGTGAGACACAAAGCACTGATCCAGTATAAATTTGCTGCACTGGTTCAGATTTGTTAAAAAAAAAAAAAAAAAAAAAAAGTTGACAGGTTGACTTTTCACTGGCAGGCTTTGCTGGGTCACATACCATCTGTCTGCAGCACTACAACATTCTCCAAGATCCAAAACTCTCTTCAGCTACCAGAAAATACACACACACTCCTTATCTTATTTTTTTGGCTAGTTTAGTAGAGATGAAATTGTGTGTCCATGCCTGATTTTGTTCAAGCCTGTGTTGCTGGATGGTCCTGCAAGTGCATGGATCTGATATGATGACCCAAGAGTTGCTCCTTCAGCCTTTGCTGGAACAGCCCCAGAACACAGTGCCCCAGAGCACCATTTTGCTCTTCTTCTCAAAAACATACTGCATTTTGCTCATCATTTTACAATTGATTTTCTCTTTTATCTTTTTTTCAGTGATTTTCCGTGATCAATTTTAACAGAAAGAAGTTTTAGCTGCCTGCAAAGAACAAAGTAGAGAGGAAACTTTAACTTTTGATTTGTCACATTTTCTAAACAACAAAAAGTGTATGTAGAACATACATGCTCCTGGTGAAATCTGGGTCATCATCCTCTACAAGCGACCCCTGCTCAACTGAAGGTGAAATGGCTCTAGGCGAACTCAAAAAGAGCTCAAAACACAAGAGCCTAGCCAAGCCCAGCAGAGGGTCAGACCTTGGTCTTTTTGAGATGACCTGCTCATTGAAGCTGTCATGCAGAGTGTAATAGATCAATGGGTTTTAAAAACACACTGAAGGATTTGTGGGCTGAAAGCATTAAGGCTATGTAAATGGAAATTTTCTTTCTAAGGAGTGAAATATGCAGATTTTTCTCATTGCTTCCACATAAATGAGTGACCAAATGAAGAGAAAACTGATCAAGAAAAATGTATGCATAATAAAAATGTGTACATGCTTCATCTAAAATTCATTGCCTCCAAAGGTTCATCAAATAATTACTTAATCTTGAACAGCTGCATGCACAATAAAATTTGCTTGCACTAGGTCTGAATAGAATTAATTTTTCTTGAGATTTGTAACAACCAATACCCTCCAAATGTTCAGCAAGTGGCAGCTCCAACTGAAAACAACACTAAAGTAACTCGTATTTGAAAGGACCTACACAAAGCTGATTGATTCTGAGCTGACACTTGCTGGTTTTAATCATGTAGTTCATTATATAGTAGCAAAAGCCTGCAGAAATAACAGGCCCATTGCATACAAGAAATTATTAATGAGTCAAATCCAATCCATGTATTGCTCTGCTCAACAAACATGGAAAGCTTTATGTCATAGGTGAAATATTTCACTCCTGCTACAAACTAAGGAGAAGATGTGCAGGAGATTTAACGCATTGAGCTCATTGTAACGTCACAGTGGGCTTTGCTTCCTCAAACCTCTGCGTCAGAGGGCTAGGGTCTTGGGCAGGGCTTGGGAGTTTTGCTCCTGGTGTGGAAGGAAAGGGAGAACCTCTGACACCTTTCTGGAGCAGAACTTTAAAAGACAGATTCACTCCACCCTGTTCTTTCTGTAAAATCACTTCTGTGCTGACAGAAGGGTTTGTTCCAATACACTTTAAATACCTCTTGCCATCAAATTCCCTTGGATAATGTTTATTACTGAGTCACCTGGCTTGAAATGGGAGCTGCAGATGAGGTATTAAACTGGACTGAACTCGTGTTCTGGTGTCTTGTAACCTCTGCAATCTTTCCTGCAAAGCTGTCACTGTAAGAACTTCCTAACTGCCTGTAATTATACTATCTCCTCTGTTTCCCACTTGTACAAACCATACAGCAGGAGATTTTCTTTGTTGTGCTGAAGTTAGTAGGAAGACTCTCATTGACTTCACTTCAGTGACAATTGGATAGGTAACTGCATCACAAATTCACAAAAGTGCCAGTTTGGAAGCACTTCGCAGTGTCACCATTTACTCTGGTAAGAGGAGCCACTTGCCAAAGATTCAACTCCCATTGTGAAGAAAGGGAAGACAGATGTTCTGGTTTTACCATGAATAGCTATTCCTTGCAGCACCAGCCTGCCTGTTTCTGTGCTCAGCTACGAAATACAAGTTGTTCTACAATAGTCACAGGGCCAAAGACAGTCTTTCCTCTCCCCAAAGCTGTTGAGCTCAAAATACTTGGGATGACAGATGACCATATCCATAGTCAGACAAGACGGGTAGCAGCCCGTGTAGTTTTGTAATTAAGCTAAGTTTGCAAGGCTTTTATTTTGGAGAAAAACAACAGGATCTCTTATAATTGGAAATTAAACTAGATGAATGCCACTGCCTTTATTTTGGCAGCTGAATTCCAGTAATGCTTAGCAATCATTGTGTTTGTAATGTAAATATACTTCTGTCGCGGCACTGAAATAGATTTCTTCTTTTCCCCTACTCATCATAGTCAAAAAATTTTCTCCAGCTGCTGCTGATCAAGAGTTTGTAGCACATTACCCAGGCTATTAGTATTCTGCACACGCTGCCAGGTGCACATATAACTCAATAGCATCTCTCTCTCATTCCAGTTAATTGAATCATGGCTTGATTGAGTTCAACAGACAATAAAAAATATTTTCCCAGTTTGAAAAGTTCTGACTTACTTCACTGGATAAAGGAGCGATAAGGAACAACTCCACAAGGAAAATTTTGTTTGTTAGTCTCATCTGAATCAGTGCTCGATTCTGTGAGCTCTCAGCTCTTCTTTTGCTTCCTTACTCATATTTCTGTTAGCACTGCAAGACAAATGAGCTAGCAGGTACCACAAAAGGTCAAAAGACAGATAACAAAAGAAATTTCAGTATTTCTCCAATGCGACCAGCACAGCCACACTTCGCAGGGGAGGCACTGCTGAAGAGCAGCTGAGCACCGCTGCCCCTCAGGTCCATCTCATGCGGTGTCCCACCTCTGACAGCAGCCAGCAGAGACCATTCCCCTTCTACAGGCTGCAGCATTAAAAATCAGTTATGTTTTTAACACTGGGTGAAGCACTAAGACCTCCAAAGACAGGGAGAGGATTTCTTGCCCATTAAATTCAGCTATAAGGGAACTAAGTGTTAGGGAAACAGAGGACATTTTGGTTTAAAGTGGACATGGGATGATG